GAAACGCGCGGCGACAGCGCGGCCGTGAGGGGCTGGGGGAACCGTGTGGGCTTCCCAGCGGTAAAATACCGTAACCCTGAGACCTGCTTGAGCTAAACCGCCAGGAAACTGTCTGCCCCCCGGTTACTTCTGTCCAAGTCACGCTCATTCTGTATTTATCGTAGGCGGGATAGAAATACGTGTTCGAAATAAATCACTCGAGAGCTTTGCACGAAGGTATCTCGTTTTGAAACCATTCCTCAGTAAAAATCGCCTCAGCGGTAAAATACCGTAACCCTGAGACCTGCTTGAGCTAAACCGCCAGGAAACTGTCTGCCCCCCGGTTACTTCTGTCCAAGTCACGCTCATTCTGTATTTATCGTAGGCGGGATAGAAATACGTGTTCGAAATAAATCACTCGAGAGCTTTGCACGAAGGTATCTCGTTTTGAAACCATTCCTCAGTAAAAATCGCCTTTTCCCTTTTTTTTTTTTTCCCTTGGCAAACACGTTGTCATTTCTTCACACCTTTGCACACAGTGAGCAGAGCGTAGGGATTAATGTCCCTAATACATGGACCAAGGCACCAAGGAAAATCTTATTTCCAGATATCACCTTCCAGGTTAGCAGAGGAAAGGCAGGACGGCCAAAATGCCCCTTTTTTTTGAGTTGCCGGTCTGTAGTTTGGCCGTCAGAGGGCAATATTAGGTGGTGCTCAGCACTGGCTTGCCTGCTCGGCAGCCACCGGTTTCAATTCTGCAATCTGCACATTAAATCTGAACTGGAAAAGCGCTTAAAAGTAAGCTCATTTGCAAGCACATGATTCCGTCTGTTGACTTAGGGGGGTTGGTGGTGGTGGTTTGGTTTTGCCTTGGGTTTTGTCTTTTGCACATTTTAGGGTGCGGATGTCGCTGCAGGTAACCAGAAGCGCTCAGTGGCGTCCGGCCTGTGCCCTTTCCCAGAGCTGTATTTTTGTTGGTGCCGCCAAATGCAGCATTTACCCCCCTGGATACAACAACATTTATGTGTTTCCCCCTGGGAAAACTGATCCGAACAATCAGCGGGAATTTCCCGCTGGCAATCAGCGGGCTTTGGGGATGTTCTCATGTCAGACCACAACCCTTTCCGCACGTCCTGTCAGTTAAGCGCTCTGTGTCTCAAGGGGCCCACGACACACACAGCTTCAAGTGCTTGGTCTAATGCTCAAGAAGGAAAAAAAAAGTTTAATTTAGATTTAGATTTTAATAGGATTACAGCTGGGTAGATACAGACATCACGGAAAAATCCATTCAGTGATTTGACAGGTAGTTGCACTTGCTCCTTGGCCACTCTTAACGTTAAAAGTCACAAGGAGAGGATGAAGAAGGAGGTTGTGGTTTTTGACTTGCATTATCTTGTAACTTCCGTTAAGATAACACGGCTAAAACAGCGTGCAAGCCACACTGGCCCTAACAACGAGACCCGCTCTTACACTTGTAACAGGAAATAATGTCTATAGTGCCAGAACAGTTCACAACATTTAGTGCTTTTTAAGGAAATAATCTGAGGAAAGGCGGGTGAAAGGCAAATGTTTGGGTTATTTTTTGCCGTATTTACTTGGTTTGTGTTGATGTGCAGCTGATTTCTATTAAATAAACATTTTCGTTTTATTACCACTGAGTGATTTGTTTGTTTGTTTTTGCCAGCTGTAATATTTATGCCAACAAGATTCCGGCAGATCTTTTAAAATCCCATTTCCCCCCCTCCATTTGGATGGCTACCGTGCAATTCAAAAGCAAAGAGCGAGTTGGGATTGAATACAGGTTTTTAGAGAATAAAAGCAGTAGAGATGTAAGGCAGCCTTTATTGGTTTAGAGCTCATATAAAACCGTTTTGTCCTGAGAGTAATCGCTTTTGGTCATACACCGGAGGAGACACGCCAGAGGTGAGGAAGGTCACAATCTTTCTGCTAAGGGCCAAGTTTCCTCCCCTACAGAATCAAATTCTCCTCTGTGAGCTTCCGCTTCAGCTTGCTTTTCTGCTGGCCCACCAAGAAGTCGTGAAACTTCATGCTGGGGTAATCGGTGCCGAAGTCGGCCCCTGAGCCGGACCCCTCCTGCTCCGCTTCAGCCGCGTCCTCGAACCCAGAGCTGGAGTCCTCTTCCGAAAGCGGAAATATACGGGCCAGCTCCTGGTAGTCCTTCATCCTGAAACACGGAGCCGCAGCGTTTACAGCAAAGCTTAGCGTGGGGGTGTTCACCCGTGCTGCAGCCGCCCGCCTCGGGAAAAGTGTCTTTACAAACGAACAGAAACCAAACACAGCGGCGGTAGCGGAGCTGTGGGCACTGGAGGCAATTTAGGGGGAATATCGGTGGGAAGGGGGCCTCAGGACTAAGCAGCCTTGGCAAGGGGCGTGAGGATCTGCTCACGTAACACATCGTGACGATTTGCTGCTGCTGGTTAGCTCCCCTCACCGGATGGATGCAAGGGAAAGCTTGAGATGGGCTCATTGCCTCAAAGCCTGAAACAGCAGCATCCAAGCCACAAATTTAACGGCATGTGGACTTCTCTCCACCGCAGAGAAGAGGAAATGGCGTTTCCCCTTTCCACCTGCGTGCAGAGGAGAGCCCAACTCCTCCTGAAGGGGAGCCCAAACAGCACCACGTAATGCCGCTGTCACGCTTCTGTTTCTACATCGTTTTTGCAGTGAACCCACTGGAGCCTCTCAAAGGATATTTTCAGCTCCATCTCGCTAGTGGCAAACGTTTCACCGCCTGAGTCGACTCTGGAGCCTCAGCTACACGCGTACGGACCGCGAAGATGCAACGCCGGGACTTACAGAGAGGGATCGGCCATGGGCGGCAGCACGCGGTTCGCTCCTCCTTGGGGCATGTAGAACCAGGGCCCCTTCTCCTCGATGCAGTTGGCAACCCAGGTGTCCGGCCGGCACCTCACGCGCTTGTACCTGGCCT